ATGTAATTAGTACTGTTGATAATTTTCTATTTTCTCAAAATGAATATTTGCTTGCAAATCTACGATATTGTGTAATTCAAGTGCTCCCGTACTCTTATGTGATTTTATTTGTTTTGCTCATTTTAAAGCAAATTATTTTGACAATTTTGTCTTGAATTCTATCAGCTTCAGCAACAGTACTTTTTTGATAAAGGAAATAATTTTATCCAATAATATAACACATGAATCATGAGTTAGCCATATGTTTATTACCATAAGTTCATCTGCAACATCTGTTAATTTTATCATTGTTCTTGTGTTTTTTATGCATTAGAAAAGCGCATTTGCTGCCAATTCATAAATTCGTCCGCAATTGTCCGAACACATGCTGCTGTGAATCACTAACGTTTGCCGCAGAAACTTTGTTGCTCTTCATAATGAAGCACTTCGTGTGTAAATAATATTGAAATTGCGTTATGGTACAGTGAGTCAGTCAGGCTTTAGTAAACAAATTGTCGTTTTAAACACATGCAAATTAATGGATGTGTAATATATAATGGTGTTGCGTAAAAAAACTGGTTGCGATAATTAAAATACTTATTGTTTCATTGTGTCATATTGCATGTTGTTTTTTTATTTTTAAATATATGACACTATTGCCTTTGTTGCTCAAGCCAATACACACAGAAAAAATGTTGACAAAGAAATAATATTTTTTTTAATTCATTTTTTCTGCACTTTGAAAGGAAACAACGATCAGAAATTGTATGAGAAGAAACATTATCATTATATACACTAATAGAAAATGTATTTGTAGTAAAATATAAAACAACAGAAAAAATAATACAATAGTAAACAAAAAAATTTAAAAATATCTAAATGAGATCAGTGGATGTATTGCGCTTTAGTCTAGTAAGCTGGATTTCCGAATGCACTTTGTAGACCAAATGGTTTGGATGGACGTCGATTCTGGTTCCATCCAAACGACTTGCGAAGAAATTATATGATATTAGATTTTTGTATTTTAACCAACGATTGCTTATACCGGTATAAAACATGGAGATTTGTGCATACTATCAGGCCGGATGGTAGCCGAGCTTTTTAATTCTGCTGATGTTGGTACGCCAGGTACACGTCTGTCGTGATAAATATAAGCTTTTGATACTATAAGGTATAAAATATGGGCGGAAAAAAGGTATCTTTACCAGCTGCGCAGTAGCTTTGTCCGCCACTTTGGGCTTAGTCAGTCCCCATCTCATGTAGGATAAGTATAGAGGAATCGATGCACAAAATCTCAAAATGTCGTAAAATACATACTGTCATCAGCTCATGGTCTCTTGGTCTATATTTATAATTACAGATATATCATAAATTTCTTCAACTTTTAACCAACTTTCCTCCATTTTTATCATGGTTTTCTCCTTGACAACAAATGCTATGTTAAGACTATGTTATGGATTTATTTTCAAATTAATTGGTAGTAACAAACTGCCAAAAAGTTATGTATTTGCTGTCCAATCAGGCGTTTCACATATAAAACCTAACGTACAAAACACAAATACAAATATTATCATAAATGCATCTATCTGATATCTCATTTTAACACATGTGTGAAGTTAGGTTTTATGAGTAAATACCATAGACTTTCACTACATGGACTGCTAGTCCTTAGTTCTCAAATGTTTTTCATTTTATAAAGTGTCAAAAAATAGAGAGACTGTGGCGCCACTTAGTGAACGAGCGTTGCCGACAATCGTGGACCCCACACGAGATTGATTAAATGTTCTATGTTAAATGTCATTTACTTATGCTTAAAAAGCACAATTTTGGTATGAAAATGCCAAACGTATGTATCAATTTTGTGTTTTTTATTTTCCTCGTGGTGCATATATTATAATTAGAAACATTTTTGTCACAAAGCGTGTCTCATAAGACATATTAAAATTTGATTTTTTTTCTTAGCAGCAATTTAATAATTTGGAGCACAAGATTTATTTTAGGTTAAGCACGTGTCATATGATATATGATACTCAATCAATCGGGAGTGTTCCACGATTGTCGGCAACGCTCGTTCACTAAGTGACGTCACAGTCGTCTTCTATTTCTTGACATTTATTTTGCACTCCATTTTAATTTGTTGCTATTCTATTTCTCTTACAACAAATTTATTGTTAGTTCTCAAATTAGGGTGTTGCCGTTTATAATCTCCATTTTTTTCATTTACTACAATATATCATGAATATTCGTCATTATTTATACCAGAGGAGCCCAGACATGGCACGCTCCATGACACAATATGCATACAATGGACAAGAGTATATGGTAATATATTTCTTCTCAAAAGCACCACCCATCGGATTAAAGTAATGATACCATACTAAAAGAAAAGCGAACAAGTTTTTAAATGTACGATAATACGAATAAAATATAATGTGCGATAAGACGAATAACTAAATATTCCTATAAGTAAACTCGTTTGTTGCTGGTTCAGTTTCGATATTGTAGGTCAGGAATGTACGATTAAAATAACCAGACAAGCCGCTGGGGAAGAAGATAGACTCGGTAAGAAACTGAAGGAGTCTTTTTTATTTGAACAGTGAGGGATTTTGTGTATTTCATAGAAAATAGATAAATTAAATAAATTATCAAATCACTCAAACAAATATTTAAACCAATTGAGTGAGGAATGTTCTACTCGAAGATATGAAAAAATGGCTATACGATCTAAAATAAAATGTTAAAAAAGGAGATGTCTCATTGGAGATAAACTCTTCAAAGTCATAACGCCCAGAACATTGTTTAAAAAAAATAATAAAAAAAATTAATTAAATTATAATTGATGAAACAGAGTCACGGTTGAACGTCATTGAAAGTCATTGGTTGTTTCAAAACCAATTTTTGATCTTGCTGGTTTTAATGATCTTTATGCTTCTAATTTAAATCAAGGTCATACTCGTATAATCAAAAAGCATTAGTTAATAAATACACAGAAAGTAATAAAGCTTATTAAAAAATATATGATAACTTAGGCGTGCTTGAATGACTACTTGCTATATCTTTAAAGTAATGTTTGAACTCTGCCAATATCAATTATGCAGTCACAAGAATAGAGAAAATCATCATTATCAATAAATGCTAATCATCAAATTTTGGTTTATATCAAATTTGAGAATATTAAATTTTGATTTATCATCATTTTTAAATTATGATTTTTTTTTTAAATTTTGTTTAAAGCATTTAAATTTTGTTATATTTCTGTGTTTAGTAATAAGGTATAGGCGATTTGCAACAAAATAGAATAGAATTTAGGTAATATTTTCTATAAAATATTCATTTGTTCCCAACTGTTCAAAATGTTATTTTCATTTGGCTATCAAATTGTTTGAATTGTATTTATTCCTCATATATTATGATTATACACCTCTAACACATTCATATATGACATTATATTACTAGATTGTGATTGATGAGTAGTAATTCCAGACTAACTAGATATTCAGAATTTAAAATTTATTTTATTATATGCAAACAATACGTTCTCATGTTTGTCTCGGAATACTGAAGATAATATAATGAAATTGATATACATCGCTATGTATTTGCATTTGAATTATATAATGTTCTGTTACATGTTTTGTCTTGAGAAGACAACTTTTGTAAGTGGATTATAATTGCATCCGAATGTATTATTTCTTTATATGGAAACATCTTGGTTCATAATGTACGAACCCGCAGCTTCTGACATTGAGAATAATTTTTTGTGGATTGCACACAACTAATCCTATTCGAGTTAATAATGAAATTATTAATAATTATTAATAAAATTAATATGCCAAAAGAAGCAATAAGAGTATGGGAGCTAGCGATTTCGATATATTTGAATTGGCTTCACTGCATCTTTATTACCAGTCAATACCAGTTTTGCATGTTACAACTAGCCTCAGATTTTGATATAACTGACCCTAGGTGTGATTTCTTAACATTATTCAAGATAACTATTTAAACAATTTAGTAATTACAAGAATTGTTACACGTTGAGATTGATATTATCAAGGTATATAAGATTTTAAATACTCAGGCCAATCGATCTTTCATGATAGTGCAATTGTATATTATCTGTCAAAAATCATGCATCTGCACACTTCTGTATACTGCGTCGGCTATGATGACATGATCCAAGGAGATTTAATGTAAAATTGAAGATTTTTTGTTTTAATATCGTTTAAGATGCTATTGAAAAATTCCTACTACTACTCATTTTTGTTACAATGAGTCCCTAGCTCTCCTCCTTTCGAGAACAACGCTTATTCGATGCTGTTTTTCTGGATAAATAAAATTCTTAATGGGATTTATTTTAATCCTTGGTAGAGTGTAAACTTATAAATGAAACTAGAAGTTTAAAGAGTTTTAATTCAGATTTACGACGTTCACAAGAAAACTTATTTTATCAGTTGATGGAAGTACATATTTCATTCACAAAATACTCAGCATTTTGCATTTATTTTATGCATGTTGACTCATTCTTAGTACGAATATATACAGATAATCTAAATAACACGAAACAATACTGAACAACTGTGTAGAAGCAAATTGTTTGACATTAAAAAAAAATTAAACTAATAATAGTCAACAACGATATGCATATATGGACCAAAAGCCAACGAACTTTTTGAATAACAGTGTTCCTGCAAGGCTAAAAATTATTGTACTGGTGTTTCTTAAAGTGCTAAGTATAAAACTATCGTCTGTCAGTTTTCAGCCCTGTACATCATGGTCGTCCAGGCGTTTAAAAGTGTAAAAAAAAAACAAAAACTAAACATTTTTCAGTAAGCTTAAGATTTTTATACTTGCATCGTATAAAAATTTTAATTTATTAATTGAGAAGTTCAAAAATCATAATGCCAGGCTCTCATTAGAAATTATGTACGTTTGATATATTTATGAAGCCAATATTGTCATTAACACCTTTTACTTATCATACTTTTTAAAACGTTATGAACATGTTTTATTTTATTTTCCAGGTGAAGTTCGAAGGTCGCACCCAATATCTGTCTGCGGTTTGCATGGCCTGCCTGGAGGCTTCGAGCCCTGAACGCGTAATCCGCTGCCGCTTCTGCACCACCCAGTGGGACGGATCGTCCCTGGTTTTGGGCACCATGTACTCCTATGACATCTTTGCTGCAATGCCGTGCTGCGCCGAACGCCATAAGGTAAAATTATAATAAATCAGTGCTATTTATATTTAAATCCTTTCGCTACGGATGTCGTCCATGGACGACATCTACATGATTTGCTGTGTACGGATGTCGTCTCTGGATGAAACTTAATGTTAGTTAAAGTTAAAGTATTGACTAGGGAATGCAATACCGGTATACCGAATTACCGGTAAACCGCCCGATTTTTGGGCGGTATTTTTACCGGTATTTACCCCAAAAATACCGGTATTTTTGGTATTTTTACATAAGCGCTATTTGATACATAATACATTAAAGTTTAAATTTCTCGGAACAAATTTATCTTCGATTTCTATAATCGCATAGACAGCTATATCTTCAAGTGATTCTATAGGATAAACAAATGTCAAATATTATCTCAACTCGTCATTAAACTGAATGTTTATTGCTTTACTAAGGGCTACATAACGTGTTACAATAAATAGAATTGAACTGATAGATAATGATATTTGTTTCATCTTATGTAAAAATGTAACAGTTTTTTAAGTGATATTTGCGCCAAAATATTTTATATCATGCAGATTACCCCTGCGTAATCTTTATTTTTTTCTAACTTTATACATAATAATTATGATAATTACTAAATATTTTTGCTTCTTATTACAATTATAAAATATTATTTTTGGAAAATGTTTCGAAGTTTGAAAATACTATAGAAGCATCACATTGTTTTAAATTACAATACTCAACAATTATAGTAACTTACTATCTCGACAAAGTATTCGATCTTAAATTAGTGTAAAAAAAATATTTTTTTAAAATATTGGAGATTATGCTAATTTAACACATCGGATACAGACAATACAGTTTATTATAATAATGTAATATGATCTTTTATGAGTTTTTGGTCTTTCTTACTCATAAGCTTGTTTTTGGTGAAAAGTACTCAATATACTCGATAGTGATAATGAATTAATTAAATTGGTTATAATTTTGTTAAATTATTATTTAAAAAAACAAATTTATTGTTTTATTTTATTGTTTTTATCGTTTAGTTGAATATAGTAGTTATATATACATTTTTTTATATTTGTACTAATAACTTTCAATTTTGTTTACGTTTATTTGAAATAATAAAAATACCGGTAATTTACCGGTATTCCGATTTTAAAATGAAAAATTCCCGAAATACCGGTATTGAAATTTTCCATCGGTATTACATTCTCTAGTATTGACAATGCTAGTCTTTGATTGTAATTTATAGTTCAATAGCAAAAAGGTTAATAAATACTCTATCAAAATATTGAGTTCATAAATATGTTTCCCTAAACAATTTATCATACTATTATTTGCATAAAATGTGATTATCTCCAATTCTAAAAAAGAACAAGAGGATATTATATAACCTTGTACGTTATTACGCCATATAACTTGCGCACAAGATATATAAATCCTGCTTAAATACTCGCGCGTTTCGCTTTTTACCGCCGAATGAATATATCTTGTACTACGTTCAGTTTAATTTATTTCTGTAGCGCGTCTTTGTACGGCTATGTTTTGCGTTATTAAATCCTGAAAGTCGTATATGTAGGCACATTATCAGTAGACAATGCCAAGAGCAATATCAGGCGTACTTCGTTTCAGACATCAATGCATCAACCGCACAAAAGCAAAAGCGTTGCTGCTGCTTTTATTCGCACTCGACTACTGATTTGATTCTAGGCTCAACATTTGTGAAGATTAATTTCCAAGCCATTTCTAACTCATAATGCAAAATTTCATAGGAGTTCATCAATTTATAACGCTGTTTTCAGCATTTGTAGGTTTAATTGTAAATCAAAGTTCAAGCTTCAATAAATAGTAGTTCAAGTTCTTATAATTTTATTTAAACTAGTTGGTATTGGTATTTTGCCTTGAGGCAAATTACATGAACTTCCCGATTTGTGTAAATAATCGACTTAATCATTGATAGATAAATTAATTTATGAGTAGTTAAAAGCATTCGAAGTGGATTTAGTACGCATTATTGAAAATCGAATACGCTATCCCGGTCGGAGTATTTTTTAAATGCAAATTTTCAAAAATCAATAATTTTTATAATTGAGCTAGCTTTTTGTAGGACTTTAATTGTTTAGTATCTTCATCAAGCACTCTATCATTATACCAAGTAAATGGTCTAATTTTAATTTTAGCAAATGTAAAAAGAACTACTCATTTTCTCAAACTTTGATGAATTTTCAAATTAAACCACTTGTCGTAAGGCGGTAATATTTCAGTAAGTTCTATAAGACTATGATATATTACGCAAAAAAAAGTTCCAAGAAAATCGGTTTAAATTTTTTTTTAAACAGTTAATTACAAGAAAACGGCTCAATAGATTTTCACCTAAAACTATCCCAACTAATATCTTTCGAACAGTTTTTAATTTTTTAAAATCGATTCGGTAGTATGAGCTTGAATGTCGATGAAAAGTTTAACACTTTTTTCCAAATTACAAAGAAACGGCTCGGCCGATCGTCGCACAAAACTCAGAAACGCTAGTCCTTACCGAAACACATCGAATGGCTTTTAAATATTTGAAATCGGTCGAACCGTTTTTGAGAAAACGGCGATTTACGGCAAAAAATCTGTTCACATACACACACACACAGCATACTTTTTCCAGATTTGGGCTCATTCGATTCAGAATGGCTTGAAACGTCGAGAAAACATAAAATTAGCGATTCGGATATTTTGATGAAAACATAAACTTCTCCTTCGGGAAGTTAAAAATGTTCTGTTCTTGTTCAGTATTTTTCATTATTGTTAAAACTTTGTTGGAAATGCGGATAGATAGTAATCATATTGTTGCAAATCCAGCACCATAAAAGTCACTGAAAGGGGAGTAATGTGGCATCCTTGACATGTTGGCTTTTATAAATTTTATATTATAATCTGATGCCAAGATTAAATTATAACTAATGAATTTTTAAAACCCACATTTTATTAATTTTTTTCACTAAAATTTACGAACCATTCACATTTGTATAAACTTTTGTTAGTAAGGCATAATTAACATTGTCGTCCCTAAATGAAGATAGATGAGTGCTTGTTAGTTTCTATGTCTAGTATCATCAAAAGTGTTTACTCAGCTATCTCAATGTATATTCTGTTTTATCTAATTAGTAGACCATGAAGAGCTTACGCCCGAAACATGTTTCATTTATTTTCTAGCCGAAAAACCTTTACAAGCTTTTAGTTTTTGCTCGAAATTCTTATCTAGTAGCTTTTAGCAAGAGATAGATTGAATTATATTTTGATATGTGAGAATTATAATGTCTGTTACAAAATTTTAAGTGTATTTTATTTGCCAATTATTTTTATAATAACGTAATAATCAGTTTATTAATTTTATTTTATCGTTTTAACACTTATAATTAGTATGAATAATTAATATGCTTCATTTAAATAAATTAAGAATATTGTATAAGGTCAAAATAATAAATGATCAGAAATCCGTATTTAAATTGAATAACAAAAAGTATTATTTTATTTTAAAGAGCATTTAGGGTTATGACAAGGCCATGTTACGCTCCAACTTTCATATTATGCTACTGAATCATACTGAATACTGTCAAAATGTCATGTATTTGCTATGCATTCAGGCGTTTCACACATAAACTGAAACGTCACTCGTATGTTATGAAGGTGTATCAGAAACACCCTGTTAGGGGGCGTCCATTAATCACGTGAGGTTTTTAGGGGGAGGTGGGGTTTGACAAAAAATCACGAAATATCACGTGGGGGAGGGAGGGGTATAGCAAGATATCACGTGTATTTATTATTTTTATATTTTTATAAAAAAGTTCAAACATTTTTAAAAAAAATTAAAACTTTTACAGTTTTTTCACGTAACTAAAAATACACGTGATGTTTGGTGGGGGAGGGGGGGTAATTTTGAATATCACCAAATATCACCAAGGGGGAGGGGGGGTCTAAAAATCCCTAAAAACTCGCTCACGTGATTAATGGACGCCCCCTATATAAGATCGTTTTTTTGACACTTGTGCGGTTTCTAGGTTAGGTTTTCTATCCGACAACCTGAGAAATTCGCCTGACTGCACACCAACCACATGGCTTTTGTCAATATTTAGTATGGAAAGCGGCAGAATCGGTCCCTTACTCTACTTGCAATGTATAAAGTGTAGTAAGAGAAATTCATCATTATTTTACCAAAAGATGTCTCTAATTATTTCGCGTTGTATAAATCTGGTTCGGTTCGCGTTAGAATGATGCGATTTCTTACTAAAAAACTTTTCTGACAGTTTTGTAATTAGTTGACACAGTTTTGTTTGAGCCCTCGTCAAAAATGGACAAAAATGTAATTTCCAAGCCATTTTATCATTTTTATATTCCAGTAAAAACTTATTTACATTATTATCTTTAATATAGCAGTCATATAAAGAGCAGAAAAAAAATTGACTGAATTAAACAAAAAAAAAAATTATTTACCATGCATGTGAAATCTCGTCCATTCTATGTCTGCTTTTTTGTACTCTTGTTTATTTAGTATGATTGTTTGATGACACATACAATATACAACCATTTTCATCATGTTTTCCCATCTTTTCTCTTGTCCCACATATTAGACCGATCGGCTTAACTAAAGCGTTGATGGATCACGGAGACGGCCTTCATTGAATCACGGTTGCTCGTATATTTTACGTCTAAATAATATTTATGCGAAAATACTTCTCGACTTAACGATCGCCTTTTCTGGCGGACTCGCTCACCTCAATTACTTCAACATAATCTTTACTCGTCTTAATCGAACATAAATCGGAAACGTCTTCATGCAATTTATATCAACGAGGAACAGACGCGTAATTTAACGCGTTTTACTTCAGTTGAAGATTTATGCATTTCAGTTACTATTCGAATAATTGCTTGGTGTGTGCTATTGATTTATAATTATTGATACAAGTTCTGGACGATGTTCTCCAAGAACACACATTTGTACTTGTAATTGTTTAATATTTTCCAAAAAACTATTTGAA